TACCCCATTTAAATAATATCAAAACATAAATATTAAAAATATATAAACATATTAATTACATATTTTAATGAATTTGATTCAATTGATTTTAGTAATCCTCATAAATATAATTTACAAAAGAAATTAAGAAATAATAGAGAAATAATACATGTTATATTAACAATAAATTGATTAATTCACAAAGAGTTAGTAAGGAGATTAAAAGCACTGAAATCTTTAAATATAAATGGTTTATAACCCATTGTGATAGATGACGTCAGCAGTCACAAAAATTCCCTATATTACTTATTGTCACAAATATTTATAGTCACAAATATTTATAGTCACAAACGCGCGTAGCGCGTTATTGACCCTTCGGGTCAATTGTGACTATAAATATTTGTGACAATAAGTAATATAGGGAATTTTTTTGTGACTGCTGACGTGGCAGACACAATTTATAGTAAATAATTAATAGTAAAAATACTATTTATTATTATACTTGATATGAGGTTATTACTTATTGTCCCAAATATTTATAGGTGTTTCACGTATGAAAACGGGATTTCATTCGTAATGAACACCTTGAGTGGAACATGTCCAAAGAATAGTTAAATAAACTATTAAGAATAATACTATTCTATTATTTAATGACCCTACCATCTAGATATGGTCATTAGATCAAGCGATGTACGGTACACCACAAAGATACATTAGAAACGTCTCGGATGAAGAGACGGAAATAGAAGACAGACCTGTTTTACTTCAAGATTTTAGTCAACTTATTAAAGACATTTCATTAATTAATAAGAAATGTGAAATACTAACAGGAGGTTGTGATTTGACGATCGGTGAATATCCATTTATTTCCATAAAATTGTTATTAGAAGGACATATTGAGATTATTGACGAAATAGAAGAAGCTATTAAATTGTTCAAAAAGAACAATACTCTTCTTATTAATAAAATAAAAGAAGGTAAAAGAAGAGAGGAAAGAGAAAAAAGAATAGATGAAGCGGAGAAGAAAAAGAAGAAGAAACTAAACCAGAGAGAAGAAAAACTAGACCTCTCTAATTTAATTTAATTAATTTTAAAATTTTGTTATTTATTTTTTGTTATTCAAAATTTTAAAAAGAAAATAATTTGTTATTTAAACAATAAGCAATAATAAAATAAAATAAAAAGGAATAAAAAGCATTCAATTAAAATGATCAATATCAGGAATATACCTGCCAGAATAAAGCGTATTAAGCAGGAATAAAAGAGGACCACAATCCATAACAGTGGAATAAATATCCACCATTATGTAGTCGAGCCATTTATTCATTTGGTCCGAGTACTTTAAATGGTATTTATGATCCCAAACTCGGAACCAATAAATTAAACCATATAATACTATTTCAGTATTATTATCATTGGCTCGACTGAGTTGGGACTTCACTTCCCTGGCAATAGCCGAGAGTAGTACAGAAAGACGTGTCCTTCTAAAAGTACCACTAAAAGACATTGAATGCTAAAATATTATTGCCGTTTAAATAACAAATTAAATGGCTGATATGAGGCAGTATATGAGGTAATGATTGACTTTTATACTATACATATAATAAAATTATAATATATTAAAAATAGAAATGTCTGTTTTGTCTATCCTGTCTGTCCGAATGCCTGTTACATCTGAATATTTAAATTATCATGAATTGAATGGCAATATACAACAAGATGGATACAGAAGAAAGAATGGAATCCACAGGAATAGAGAACATTGATATTAAATCGTTAAAGAATTATTTTATTGATTTAGACACATTAGAAGACATTTGCGATGATTTAGTACAATGTTTTAAAAAAGAACAGCTATATTACTTAGAAGAAGATAAGTTTAATTCAATACTTGATGAAGAAGCTGCATTAGTGAATACTATTCATGAAATAACAAGTAGTATGAAGAAAGATTATGGCGATATTTTACAAGCTTTTGAAATAAGAGCTACAGAAAGAGCAAGAAGAAGAAGAGTAGCTATTTCAAGAGAATTGAATAAGAAGCCAAAAATGCCAAAGGATAATTAAAATTAAAATTAAATTAATTTAATTTCTTTTTAATATTATTTTGTTTATTAAATAAAAATAAATAAAATAAAAAAGTAAATTAATTATTATTCCAAATCATTAGTGAAATGGAAGTTTTCTAATAATTCTAATAAACCACCCAGTTTATTAAATCGTTGATCCTTAGTGCAAGAATCGACGAAACCTGTAAGGTAATAAAATAAAACATCACTATAATTATAGTGAGTCTCCTCGAATCTCCTCATAAAATAGAGGATAGAATAGATTAGACACTTGGTGTCCAAATCCAAACTATCACTCTCGAGGAGACCTTTACAGGTTTCGTCGATGTCTTGCACAATGCTAGACAAGAGAGGGAACATCGAATAAAATAAAAAGTATTCCAGTTTAAATAACAAATAAAACGTGTAAACAACACAACAAACAGACACTTAAAGAGGAATTTCTAAATTAATTGAATTAAATTTTTATTATTCCTTATAGTTTAAAAATCATTTTCTACCTCATACATTACCTCATACATACAATAAACAGACAAAATAGAAAATTCCAAATAGTATAAATAGCATATCTTATTACCAACAAATCAACTGAACTTGATGTCACAACCACACAAAAAATACTATGAGTTCAAAGCAATGCATGGCTATGTCACTATCAATTTAAAAAATAATACTCCAATCCCTTCAAAAGAAACAATTAAAAATATGATTGAACAGTGGTGTACTACTAGAAGTAAAAGGGCTCAAATAAAATATTTAGCACTGAGTAAAACAACAAAAGGACCTAATAGACATGTTCATGCCTTCTTTGAATTGGAAGATGTAAGTCACGTAAGAAAGAGACCATTTATACAATTAAACGGGGAACAGCATTTTATGAAATTTGAAAAGATTACAGAGAACGAAAACTACGATGGAAGTTTCAAAACAATTATTGATTACTTAAAGAAACAAGGAGAAAAACATCCAGAAAGTGGAGCCATATTTGAAGAAATCGGCAAAATGGAAAACAACAGAGGAAGATTAGGTGACATCGATTTAGGTAGAGCTTTAAAGATGCCAGACTTAGAAGAGGCACATGCTTACTTGAAAGGAATAAGTGTAAAGGGATTTATGAATATTGGACAAAAATTTGATTCTTTGTGGAACCAAGAACACAGTAGAGATAATTATAACAGAATAAGAATTAAACTTCAACCTTGGAAAGAGGATAATCCAGTAGTCAAAAACAGTAGAATATGGTTGAATTCTGCATTAAGTGGAAAGAGCAAAAGAATTAAAACACTAGTAATAGTAAGTGATACAAAAATGGGGAAAACGGAATTTATAAATGATTTACTTAAAGATCTTAAAGTAGATGAATTTAGAGGAAGATTTATGATGGATGGACATAATGAAAACTTGAAATATGATATCCGTCTATTTGATGATGCCAATTTAAATGACATCATTTGGCCAGAATTTAAGTCTTTAATCAGCACCAGAGGAGAACAAATTACAATAAACATTAAATATTCACATGTAAAAGTGACATCAATTCCAACAATATTAGTATTAAATCCAGGTAGTTGGAAAGCTCTACAAGAAAGAGCCAAAGAGTTTGAAGACTTCGATTGGATGGAGAAAAATACAGTAGTACTCCAAACTAATGAGAAATTATATATTGAACCACCACCTAAGGAAGAAGCAGTACGGGATAAAAATAAATATGATGGATTAGATCCTAAATTAGTTGAAATGCTATTGGAGAATGAAGTTGAAGAAGATGTTAATTTAGATGATATGGGAGATGATACAATAGATGATTTGAATGATATAATAGAAGAATTAGAAGAAGAAAGCATGCCTCCTCCCATGGTACTTGAAGAGCCAAAGCCAGTAGAAGAAAACAGAGAGAAAAGAAAATCTTTAATATTATCTCTGTTAAAAGAGAATGATACAGCAATAGTACCACCTAAAGAACCAGATGTTGAATTAACTCAACAAGCTAGAGAATTAGCAAATAGGTGGTTAGGTGGAAATTTTAATTAACTAATTTTTGGTTTATCTTTTATTTTTATTTTTAAAATGAGTTATTGGTATAGACCAAATGTATTAAAACGAAAATGGGGAAGTTATGGAAATATTCATAACAATCAATACTATGATAATTATAATGATTATTCATTTAACAATGGAATGAATACTACTTATGATCCAGATAATGGAGAAGATGAATATTTTGAAGAAGATGATGTAGATTTACATCC